AGTTTTTTTCTTTTAAAAACATAACTATTTATAATGCTCCCTAAATAATAAAAAATAAATTACAGTGAAACCAATGAAGATTTTGTAGGTTTTGAACCAAACTAAACAACAAACTAAACCTTTTTTTGATTTACGGTATTTTCTTATTTTGATGTTTGAGCTCTTTTGTGTTTAGAACAATATATACTAATTTTTAAAGTATCAAACTGAATTTTTGTTCAATAAAAATCTATCAAATGCGACTGTAGCTTTTTTTCCCCAAAACTTTGTCTTCAAAATAAGGGTGCGTCTTATATTCCGTGATATACGGTAATTAATTATTGTTATTGACTTTTATTTGAACAGATCATAACGTTTTTTTTCCAGAATATTTTAAGGGCTTGTCCTGGTCTGGTGTACAAGGTTCAATTTGGGCGACCTGACTGGCCCTGTCTGTTCAGAGAATGGGAAGAACTATATAGAGGGTAAGCTGATCTAGAATTCGTGGTGTGTTTACTTTGATACAAGCTTCTTCACAAGCACAAAGTCATATCAACAAATTTCTCAGTTTCAAATACATTTTCATTATACGCTATGTTTTGTGATAAAAAAAAAATACAGATAAACTCCAAGTACAACTTTCATGAGATATATTAGAGGTTATTATTCATACTAATGCAGTAAATTATAGGTTGAAATAAAGTCATTGTATTAAGTTTGAATAGTATTGGGCCACATTGTTTGAGACGTAATTATAAAATACTGAGATAACAGTCATAAGATATTTTATGAGTCAAGCCTGAGATACTGCGCTGCAAGATGTTGGTTCAATGTATCAAGATTTTTGCGGAGTTAATTTCCTTTAAATGTAAAAAAACTATACATTCTAAACTTAGTGAAGTGAACTAAGTAGATATAAAGTGTTTTTTTGTGTTTTTTTTGATGACGTACGAAAAAGACAAGCTCTTTTAAAACTCAATTTAGTTTATAAAAGTGTAATTAGTTTCTATTCTAGTAGCAACTAAGTTGTAATGCATAACCCTAAAAAGTAGCACACATATATAATTATATTATTTCATTTTATTGTGGTTTTTACAGTATGGATGTGGGAGTATTTTGCTGTGGTCCGCGTGGACTTCGTCATGAACTCGCCAGGTTATGTAGGAAAGCAAATTTGTGTGGGAACAAGTTCATATACAAACAAGAGTCTTTCTCTTGATCTAGTGGAAACGTCGTTACTGTATGAATATGTTATTGTGGTTCTTGCTGCAAGTGTGCAAGCCATATCCTCGTGAAATTAAATGTGAGGAAACGGGGCACTGTCTATATTTGAAGATAAGTAACTACCTCTTTAAATAGTGCATTGAATGTGGTAGAGAACACACACACACACACACACACACACACACACACACTAACACACACGAGTAGGGTAGGAGAGTAG